TGGGTTTGAAGGCCTCTTTCCTGGCTGCATTGGGAGTCACAGCACTCCAAGGCAACAGAAATGATATTCATAGCAAATAATACTTGTTAATGAATTATGACTTGTGGCCATGCTAATTCAAAATACACGGTCTGCATTCATTAACCACTGGCCATGGTATTGCTAATTAATAACTGATAGCTCAGCCGCTTGCTCCAATTAAAGACAGGTCCCTGGAGGCTAGGCTGTGTTGATATGGGCTTACCCAGCAGGGACAGGACAGTTATACGGGTAGGATGGGTCTTGCAGTGACTGTGGTTTGAAGAAGGCCCAGGGACCCGTTATCAGCGGATCCCGGCCGGCCTACGATGATGGGGTTTGGAAGGAGGCTGGAACAGACGCTGACCCGGAAGGGGCCAGGAAGCAGAGGAAGGTGAATGAGTTGGATAATCATTTGCAATGGCAACTTGTCACCAATCCACAATTAATTCGGAGCAGGCCGGGCTGGGCCAGGGCTCAGCCCAGCGGCTGTCGCTAGCTCAGGGCCCCCTTGCCCTCGGGCGCTGACAGCCAATGCCCGCAAGGTGGCGCTGCGGCCCTCCCCCCGAGTTGAGTGTCTCCGCGTTCTAGGGGCGGGGATACATTGCATTCGAAGTGGGCGTGGTTCGAAGGCTGAGGCCGGCGGCGTTCGCTGGTCTCCCGGGTGGCGGAGGCGGGGCCGGCTCGAGGGGCGGGGCCGCCCTGGAGCATGGCGCGGTCCGGCTGCCTGTCCCGGCTCCAAGTGCTGGCGGCCGCCTTGGCCGCCTGCTGTGGGCTGGGGGCCGCCTCCCTCGCCCGGTGCCGGCCGGCGCGCCGCCTCCGCCACTACCTCGCCAAGCTGCTCATGGCCCTGGCCGGGCCCCTGGTGTTCCGCATCGGGTGAGTGCGGCGCGGGGGTCTCGCTCGGACCCGCTCCTGGCTCTCTCCCGCCGCGGGGGGGCCTCGTGGGGGCCAGGGGAGGGTAAGCTGGCGCGGGGAGGGCTTCATGGGGCCGGGGGAGTGGGGGGAGGGGTATGCAGGGGAACTGGGGGGGGTGGGTTGGGCAGGGGGTCGGGGAGGTAGGCTGGATCTGCAGGGGAGTTGGGGGGGTTGGCTGGGGTTGGGGGGTTAGGCTGGGGCTGCAGGGGAGTTGGGGGGTTGGCTGGGGTTGGGGGGTTAGACTGGGGCTGCAGGGCAGCTGGGGGGTTGGCTGGGGCTGGAGGGTTTGGCTGGGGCTGGACTGTGCAGGGCTTGGGGAGGGGGCTGCCGGGGAGCTGGGGGAGTTAGGCTGGGCGGGGTGTGTGTGCAGGGGGGCTGTATGGCTTATGGGGATCTGCAGCAAGAGGTCTGCATGCATCCAGGAAGGCTGGCTGGGTTGAGAGGGCGTCTCGCTGGGGGAGTAAGGGGAGGGCTGGTGGCTGAACTGAGTGGACTGTGCAGGGTGACTACCCTGCCTGGGTTTGAAGAAGGTCTCTTTCCTGGCTGCGTTGGGAGTCCCACAAGTTGCCCTTCTCTCCCCCATGGGGTGCTCCTGGGGACTCCAAAGGGTTTGCACTGCACTGATTGTTTGGTGCCCGAACCACTTTGGGTGGGGGGATGCTTGTACCCCCTGTGGGGTAGGTGCCATGCATAGGGGCCCCCCTGCACAGCAGCCACCGAAGGTCTTGGCCGGCTCCCTCTGCGATGCGCTGGGGAGCCAGGTCTCCTTTGCTGCCCCGTGCAGCACTGTGCTAACACATACGCAGGCGTCTCTGGAAAGCTCCAACTGCCTGGGGCGTGCTGTGTGCAGGGTCAGCGGGAGAAAATGCTGCTTTCAGATCCCACACAATGCCTGGCATTATCCATCCCTGCCGGGATGTGCCCACGTGATCCAGATCCCCAGACCCAGGGTGCCACAGCTTCCATTCGGCATCGGCTCCTTGGGCCCCCGCTGAACGCTCTGACTGTAGCTTATTGTCCGTCAGGCGCCCGCGGAGCGTCTTCCACGCACGCTGCATCCCGAAAGCCTTTAGAGCGCTGGGTAATAGAGGGCAGGCGTCAGTTCCCAGAAGCAGCGGTGCGCAGTTTGCACTATGGAGAATAGACTGAAATCGGTCCATGGTGGAGCCGGGAGGAGAGCCCGAGTAACGGGCGAGCGGAGAGGCCCTGGCCCAGGTTTTGTCGTGCTGATGCTGCAGAGAGGCAAGAAGGTGGCTCAGAGCTGTGGAGAAGGCGGCTCAGGCAGAGGGTAGATTCTCCTCTCTTACAGTGTGATCTGCAGAGCGAAGGATCCTAGCCCAGTGTGTGTGAGATGCACTGTGTATTCAGGGCTTGAAACACTTGCTGGGTGCCTTGTAGCTAGAGGGTCACTTGGTAGCAATGAAGGAAAGGGGCATCTGCGCGCAAGGACTAGGGCAGACCCCTGGTAACAGGCCCAGCTCCCGCCGCTCATGCACCTCTCCCGGGACGCCTGCTGCAAGCCAGTCGTCAAGAATTGTGAAAGTCCTGTGAGCCGTCCAGGGGTGTGCGCGCTGGAGCCAAGCAGCCGTCTGATCTTGTTGTTGAGCCTTCATCTTTCCTCGCCCCATCCCTCCCTTGTCTGAAACTGCCTGGGGCAGGCACCGGGGTGGCCAACGGGTTCGGTGACATGCCTGGTGTGCGGTGAATGCTGGGCTTCCTGCCCTACTGGGGGGGCTGTGCTGTGAAGGGTTTGTCTTTCACATCTGCCTCTGGCTGGTAGGTGTCAGGTAAATCTCAAGTTCCAACCTCTCCCGGCTACTGTCATCTGTGATCCCTGCTGCTCTGCCTGTGATCAGGGAGCTGGGGCGGTACCAGGTTGTCTGCTTTTCTTCTCCCCTAGCTTCGGTCTCTGGGGGCCCTCCTGCCTGGTGAATTACTCCAGCGTATGCTGCCAGGAGCGTTGCCTGGCAGTGTGAAATTGACATAATGCGCGACACTTTCGCTGCAGCTCACAGCATTCTGAACAGAGTCTTTAAAACTGGCCACGCTCATTCAGTGCAATCGTTCTGCAGCGTGGGGAAGCTCTGAAGCAGCTGTGGAAGGGTAGGGCAGGGTGGGGTGGCTGGCTCAGCACTGGTTGACAGTTTTCGGCACGACAGTCAGGGCTAGGAGGTTGATTTAACAAATGGACAGCTTTGATTCTGGAGACGCTGACGGGATTCATTGCCAGGGCGCTTTTGTTATAGTAGCATCTGTCTCAGCTGGGGCCTCACTGCATTTGTACAGTGTGGAGGACATATTAAGAGAGAGCCCTGTTAGCTGTGTGGATTGTTTAGCTCTGTGACCTTGTCTTCACTAGAAAAAAGGTGTGTGTGTGTTACCTAATGTGTTTAATCCTAGTGTAGACAGGGTAAGTTGTAGTTCTATCTTGTGTTACCTGGTGAAGGGGAATGCTACAGGGGAGCTGTGGGTTTGCCTCGCCCAGCTAATGCATGCTAAAACTACAACTGTCCTGTCTGCGCTAGGATTCGAACACGTTACTTAACATGTTAACTTGCACACTTCTTTCCCTTTCATTAGTGTAGATGTGGCCAGTGTGCATTAAACTGGATTTTCTTTCATCTTTACAGAGCGCTAATCCCCTGGCAGGCAGAACATCAGCCATCAAAGGCTGAGACACGTTGAAAAGGGAGTATGACCTGGTTGTGTCATGTCTTGGGAATCCACTTTTGGAAAAATGGGTCACCAAGAAGGTGGTAGTTGTTACTCAGCGATTTAAAGAGCTGTTGTCAACTAGTTTAAGCCTTAACTTTTGCTTCACCAGGCGTTTTATAAAACCCACCAATCAGAAATGTTTGAGCAGATCTTTGTTAACCCCAAATCAGCAGTTGCATCAGTGTCTAGTGCAGGAAAGGTGGAAACCGACTAGAAATAAATAGTGAAACTGTTTGTTTTCTTTGGCTGAGCTCAGAGAGGTGCAAATAGTAAAAGGAACAGCAAATCTTCCTCTGTCTTTTGTATAGATCTGTCTGCTAAGCTGCTCATAGATTATTAAAACCAAAGAGGAATTTCAAAGTCTGCAGTCCCTTTACCCAGGTTGAGGACAACTTGAAAAAAGCGGTGGTTCTTTTAACTGTATGCCTTCTTAGGTATCAGAGTAGCGTCAGTCTGAGTTGGGGCCCCATCCTGTGTGTTCGCTGTGTAGCTTGTAGTGAGGAGCTTACAGTCTAAATATCCAAGATAAAGGGAAGCATCGTTGTCTGCATTTCTCAGAGAGGGAACTGTGGTGCAGAGAGATGAAGTGAGGTAACCGATCTGTGGCACAGCTGGGAATTGACAAAGTTCCGGTTCAGTCCGTCAGCCCAAGACCAGCCTTTCCCTATCAGACCTCTGATTTTTCTGTCTTGTATCACTGCAAATGATCAGGGCTCCATCTCCTAGCTGCTGGACAAATAACTAGCATGGAAGAATTCCGTGTTGCTTGTCGGAGTCTGGGATTAACAGAGAGAATTGCTTTATTTCTCCGTCACCGGGAGAAGGAATCAAGTCTTCAGTCAGCAGCTCGGTGTTTGGACAATGCTTCGGAGATGTGAATGACTGGGCGAATGCCAAGCGTTATGTTCTTAACTCTTCCGAACTTGACGGGCTGGTTATAGAAGTGTTTCGAAACTTTACCAGATCCCAACGGTAATGAGACTTTCAACTCTTGTCTTTCACTAAAGCACAATGTGGATTTTCCCTGGATGTAATAATTAACTTGCAATGCCCTCAGCCCGTTCTCTTCCGGCTGGAGATTGTGAGCAGCGTTATCGAAGTGTTATCTTTGATCTCTTGCACTGCGCTGTGTGTCACTCACCAGCAGTAAATTGTTGGGCTTTGAATGTCAGGCACCACTGAGCCAGGTATCCCCGTTTCAGGGTAACTGCACCTGCGTTCCCCCACGTGGTCCCTCGGGGGCACCCGCATCGGGTCTTGGGCTTCCAGACGTCGCCTCTCTTGGGAGGAGATGCACATCTCTCCCGCTCCTGACTGGGGTTTGAAGGCTGCATAGCCCCTGCAAGCCAGCCTGCCTGATTGCCCGCCCCAGTGCTTTGCCTTCTCTCCGATGGCCACAGACAGCATGTGGCCGGCAGTTACAAGTCACCGCACCGCTCTTCCTAAGCCAGCACTCTTACTCTTAAGGTAAAAGCGTCACCGGCACAACGTATAGAAACAAGGAAGAAGTTCCTCTACACGTGCTAAAAGCTCACCCAAGATCCCCCATCAGTCTCATGGGTCCCTTCCACAAGATTTGGGGCCCTTGGATAGAAGGGCCCATCCATTCGCTGGATCAGAAAGAAGGGCCCGAGGCAGTTTAAATGCAGCCTTTTTATGCCAGAAGCCCTTTCTTGGTTGATGGCTGGAAGATCCCGTTTGAACCAGCGTGTGCAAACCTCCCTGGTGGGCTGGTACCTCTCTGGAGTTGGTACAACCTGGGTGCTTTTCCTTAATAACCCCCCCACCCACACTGCGCCCGGTTTCTGGCACAGCTGTGGCAGCCCCCCAGTGCCTGGAGTTACATACAATCCCTGTCCCACAGTGGACCCCTTAAGGAAGAGATGATCCCCAAGAGAGATACCTTTCTTTCCCAGGCGCCCGATCCACTGGGTAAATGCAGCATTAACTGCTGAGAATTCAAACATGTTCAGAGCAAGAAGTCTGAAGCTCTGGGTTTCACAGTACCCGCCACTCACCTCTTCTGCACACCCATGGTGAATGGCTCTGCAGTGTATGTCTCTCATCGTGTAATACTGTGAGGTTCTCAGGGAGGCGTGGTTGAAAGAAAGCGCTGTCACAGAAGCTAATGGGGAAGGTAACTTTCTGCTGCCTGTATGAGGGATCGTGCTGTAGGACAGTGTCCTCTGAAATCACGCCTCTGTCTGGAAAGACTTTACTGTTGTTCTGCAATTGCTATAACTTAA